CAAGGCTGGCCTCAAACTCCTGACCTCAGGTGATCTGCCCACCTCAACCTCCCAAAGTGCTGGGATGATAGGCATGAGCCACTGCGCCTGGCTCTCTTCCCTCTCTTTCCATTTTTTATATACTCTTTTATTAGAATTTTTCTTTTCCCAAGTTTGAAGCCAGCCAGTCACAGAAATCACACAAATGAAGATCAGTTAGTTACTTTTATTATTGACAAATTATCAACGTGTAGTTTAGATTTAAGGCCAAAGCTGTGCTAATATGTTACTCTAGATTTGGATATCCTTGAGCTACATCAATTCACTGACTCAGATTAAGAACCACAAGCCTGAACCTCTTGGTGGCCCTTTACCACATGGCAGGGAACACAGCAGTATGCTCCCTCTCTCCTGGTAGACTGAGTTGAGAGAGAACAGGAAGGGGCTGAGTTGAGCTTGCTGCCTCCCAAACACACCTATTACATACTCAGTCCTACTCTCTGCAAAGGAGATAATTCACCCTGGCCGCACTGAGCAGAATAGATAAGAAAGTAGGCTGGACATGGTGGCTCATGCCTGTAATCCCAGCCCTTTGGGAGTTTGAAGTGGGCAGATCACTTGAGGTCAGGTGTTAGAGACCAGCCTGCCCAACATGGTGAAACTCCATCTCTACTAAAAATATAAAAATTAGCCGGGCATGATGGCACATGCCTGTAGTCCTAGCTACTGGGGAGGCTGAGGTAGGAGAATCGCTTGAACCCAGAGGGGAGCAGGTTGCAGTGAGCCAAGATCATGTCACTGCACTCTAGCCTGGGCAACAGAGTAAGTGAGACTTCCATCAAAAAATAAAATGAAATAAAAATAGAGTAGATTAATAGATTAGAAAGTATAAGAAGGTGGTAGAAAGACAGGTAAAGGGATACTGTTATAGCAATAACACTTTACATCCTATATAAAAAGAAGGAAAGAAAAGACTTTGGATGGGGTTGATATTAAGATGTGTTTTCTTGTCCTATTCAACTTCTTGACTCTGAGATGTGTCAGGTATATATTGGGCATCTCAATTTCAGACAAGAGAGAGAATCCCTTTGCCTAGTTTTATAACTGCTTCTTTGAGGACCATTTATTGGCTGATCCTCCAATCATATGCCCTTTTGAACTGTTCTTTTCAATGGTAATTTGTTCTTGGTTCAAGAGGCATCAGCAGGTTCATTACATGTTATAAGCAGTTCTCAACCTGGGGGAGGACAGAGTGAAAACACAGCAGGGCTTGAACAAAGATATATTGTCCCAAATTCCAATGTGCCCCTGAGGTTGACTGCTGCAGTCACACTACCAATTTGTTCAAGTCTTAACCGTATGTACCTCTCTTTGAAATATGACTTTTCTGCTCATCCTACAAAGAGGCTGAATCTATTTCTCTAATCTTTATTCTATTTTTTAAAAATTGAACTTATAGCAAACAATAAATTTCTACCCTTTGAATCTGGATTGGGTTATGTGACATGTGTTGGTAAATGTGACACAAGCAGAGGCTTAGAATAAGCTTGCCCATTGGGTTTTGCTCTCTCTTTTTCCTGGGAATCCTTTTGCCAGCCTGTGTCAAGTCTAGGCTAGCTGACTGGATAAGAGAGCAGATAGAGTGAGACTCCAGTGGTCCGTCTCTTCCCCGTCATTCCTGCCTTCCCAGCTAAGACCCTAGACAAGTAAGTGAGGCCACCTTAGACCATTCAGCCATAGCCAAGCAAGCCCAGAGCAGAAAGGTCATCAGCCAACCATAGAATGGTGAGAAAGAGAAATAATTTGCTTTATTTTAGTCCACTAAATTACAGGGTGACTTGTTACATGGGAGAAGCTAACTGATATACTATCTTATTAGCCATGAAGACAAAGAAAGAAAAGAATTCTACCAAAAACATAAGAAAAAAAAAGGTGATTGTAGTTCAAAATGAATTTAATCTTGAGCTTCCTGGTAGCCAGGGAATTAAAAGCAAGATTGACTTATAGAGTTGTCACTATTTGAGAAAATAAGCATATAAATTCTGAAGAGCTGACAAACATACAAAATACCATAAAACACAAAATACCATAAAACAAAGTATCTTCACATGCACAATAAAAGAGAACCCTTTATATAACTTTCTTATATTAATCACCAATATATGTCATGATGGTTCAATAAGTTGTAAAACATCAGCTTATCAAACCATAAAGGAAGGAATGATTAACATGTTTATTAAAATAATTGGAATTTTTAAAAACACACTTTTGGAAAAAGTCACATATGAAGGTAAATCTTTAGATGTGAAAGGATTTTATTTTTAAAACTTACTTGTCATTCTTTTGTAATATAGTCACTCTTTGTATTTATTTAAATAAATTCACTTGAATGAAATGGGAGTTTGACTAGGTTATTTATGTACTTTAAACTTCAAAAGTCATATTTCTGTAGAATCCAGAGTAATATGAATGTATTAATAATTAAATATTCACCACATGAATAAGATTTGGATTTTAAAGTTCAGCTTTGATGGTGTTAAATTATCAATTTCTCACATTTTCTTGATCTGTCAATAATATGTACTATTTATTGAACCCCAACTATGAGCCATGTACTCTGCTAAGTGCTTTACATGTATTAATTCATTAAATTCTTTCATCTGTCCTAGAAGGTAGATACTATATGCTTTTCCTATCCTGGGCCCTTCATTGGTCCATCTGACATGTGTAAGCTTCCACTGAAATTGCATAAAAAGTCCTAAATCAATGAGGAAAGTTTTAGAAAATGAACTATTTAAACACAAATCAAATTACAGTCATGAGTCACTTAACAATGGGGACACATTCTCAGAAATGCATTGTTAGGTGATTTCATCATTGTGTGAACATCACAGAGTATACTTATGCAACCATAGATGGTATAGCCTATTACACACCTAGGCTATATGATATAGCCTATTGCTTCTTGGCTACAAACCTGTATAGCATGTTATTGTATTAAATACTGTAGGCAGTTGTAAAATAAAGGTAAGTATTTGTTTATCTAAACATAGCAAAAGAGAGTAAAAATGTGGTATAAAAGAAAAAATGGTATATCTGTATAGGACACTTACAACAAATGGAGCTTGCAGGACTGGTAGTCTCTCTGGGTAAGTCAGTGAGTGAGTGGTGAGTAAATGTGAAGGCCTAGAATATCACCAGGTACTACTGCAGACTTTATGAACACTATACACTCAAGCTACACTAAGTTTATAAAAAAGTTTTTCTTTCTTCATTAACAAATTCATCTTAGCTTATGGTAACTATTTTACTTTATAAACTTTTGTCACTTTTTGACTCTTTTGTAGTAACATTACCTTAAAACAAAAACACATTGTACAGCTCTACAAAAATATTTTCTTTCTTTATATCCGTATTCTATTAGCTTTTTATATTTTTAAAATTCTTTATTTTATTTTTTTACTTTTTAAGCTTTTTGTTTAAAACTAAGACACAAACACATACATTAGCCTAGGCCTACACAGGGTCAAGATTATCAATATCATTGTCTTCCACCTTCATATCTTATTCCTTTTTTTTTTTTTTTTTTTTTTTTTTGTGATAGAGTCTCGCTCTGTCATCCAGGCTGGAGTGTAGTTGCATGATCTCGGCTCATTGCAACCTCTGCCTCCTGGGTTCAAGTGATTCTCCTGCCCCAGTCTCCTGAGTAGTTGGGATTACAGGTGCACATCACAATGCCTGGCTAATTTTTGTATCTTTAGATACAGACGGGGTTTTGCCATGTTGTTCAGGCTGGTCTGGAACTCCTGGCGTCAAGGGAGTCGCCCACCTCAGCCTCCCAAAGTGTTGGGATTATGGCGTGAGCCACCATGTCCAGCCCCAGTGGATGGCCTTTGGGGTAATAACACACATGGAGCTGTCATCTCTATAATAGCAATGTCCTCTTTAGGAATACCTCCTGAAGAATGCGCTTGAGGCTGCTTCATAGTTATGTTTTTTCAAAGTAGAAGTAGTACACTCTAAAACAATGATTAAAAGTATAGTGTAGTAAGTACCTAAACCAGTAATATAGTCATTTATTAATCATTAACAAGTATTATTTACTGTACATAATTATATGTCATATATTTTTGTTTGACTGGAAATGCAGTAGGTTTGTTTGCCATCATCACCACAAACACCTGAGTCATGCATTGCGCTACAACATCATGACAGTTGATAGGAATTTTTCAGTGCCATTGTATCTTATGGGACCACTGTCATATAGGCAATTTGTCATTGACTAAAAGATCTTTTTGTGGCACATGATTGTATATCCTTATCTGAAACTTTATACTAAAATAAATTTGAGAATGATTTAATCAAGTGGTGGCATGGGCCTGTAGTCCTGGCTACTCTGGAGGTTGTAGTGGGAGAATTGCTTGAGCCCAGGAGTTCAAGGCTGCAGTGAGCCATGATTGTACCACTACACTCCAGCCTGGGTGACAGAGCCAGACTCAGAAAAAAGAAAGAAAAGAAAAGAAAAAGAGTGGAAAGAAAGAAAGAAAGAAAGAAAGAAAGAAAGAAAGAAAGAAAGAAAGAAAGAAAGAAAGAAAGGGGAAAGAGGAAAAGAGAAAAAGGAAAGAAAGAAAGAAAGGAAAGGAAAGAAAATAAAAGAAAAAAGAAAAGAAAAGAAAAGGAAGGAGGGAGGGAGGAAGGAACGAAATTAAATGTTAAGCCTAAGCCAGGCATGGTGGCATATGCCCGTAGTCCCAGCTACTTGGAGGGGAAGCTGAGGCAGAAGAATTCCTTGAGCCCAGGAGTTGGAGAGTCCACCCTGGGTGACATATTGAGACCACAGAACCTATCTCAAAAAACGAGAAGAATTAAATGTAAAATTAAGCTATAAAATTAGAATTATCCAGGATAAAGAAGTCTTCTTATATCACACAAGCAATTAAGAAAGTTACAAAGAGTAATATTATTAGAAAAATAGTTGAATATACACTAATGAAATAAGGCTTATGATTTCTTTCCCACAGGAGTATGAGCATTACTGGACAGAGTTGAGAGGAACTACACTTTTCTTTTATACCGACAAAAAGAGTACAATAGTAAGTAAACACGTTCAGCTGATTCCATTGTTTCCCAATACAACCTTGTCACATAGCATATTATTCATTTTGCATTTTCTGTCATCCAAGAATAAAGATGCTCTGCTAAAATTAATTCAAAAAAGAAAGTTTAAATCTGTGAAGGCCATCAATGATGACAGGAACAATGGCAAATTTTCCTGGGCAATTCAGAAGAAGATATTGACTCATGTTTTTTACTTTTCATTCTTTTCTTTCTGATTCTGATAACTTAGTTACAAAGTAAAAATTTTTAACAAGACATATGCACATATATTGCTTAATACCAAGTGATAGCTTCAATTTCTCCCATTTTTTATCTTGCTATAGCATGCATTTATAATTGGAAAGGAAGAAAACGATCTCCAGAGCATGCAAAGCCACTATTTAAGTTTTCTGAAAAGACAAAAACATATTTCACAAAGCAGGACTTCTAAGGGCTTAAACATGAGAATAACAATAAAGGGATTCTGAGATTTATTTATTCATATTAATTTCAAATTCCGATTGTATGTTTCAGTTCTTCCAGGAATAAGATATAGCATTTTAGTGGCAAATGCTTACCTACCTTGGAACACTATATTTATAAGAGATTTTCTGAGCCAGTAACTTGATTAAATATAAACATTCTGGATCTGGATATAGTAGCCCATACTTCTTAGAACATCATTATTAGAAGCCAACATCTAATGAAAGAGACAGAAAAATAACCCGTGTAATGTAGAATGTTTCCAAATGCCATAATAAATTTTACAAAATTAATTCCTCTTTTGTGCATTCCAATTTCCCACTGATGTCCATAAATATAAAAAAGCTTTCATTCTAACCTTTTCTAATGCACAGTAAGTGAGAGAGCTAACAATTGTTGCTCACTTACTACATGGCAAGAGGCAGTAAAGCTTAGTAATCAAGAGCCTGGTCTCTTCCGACAGCCTGCCTGGGTGTTTGTCCTAGCCCTGCCACTGTTAACTGCAGAATCTTGGGCCAGTTAGCGACCTCTCTGTGTCTCAGTGTTATCAGACAGGAAACTGGTAGAAAACAGAAGACATCTCAAATTGGGCAATTTGAAGAGAATTTAATGAAGTTTTAATAAATATGCAAAGCAGTGAGCAGGGTGTAGGAAAATTACAAAGATAGTACAAAACCCTGAGGCTAGCAAAAGTGTCCATTACCACATCTAGGATTGAGAGCAAAGAGTGGGAAAGTAGTGAGAATTGTATGGAGATGACTGCCTTGAGGAGAGTATGATCTTTGATTGAGGGAGCAACTGCGCAGGGTAATAAATATCCACCCTCACTCTTCTGATCTCCTGCCACTGTTCTCCAGTGGTCCAACCCAATAGGAACTCAAAGGGTACGGAGCTCCTTGATGTTGTCCATACAGGTCTCTCTCCAGATGCAGAGTGTTGGGTGGTGAAGGAATAAAAGTGAATCTAAAAGGGCAAACAAAAGATCTCCAACACAGTCTTCAAATCTGTAAAATTAGAATAAAAATAGTAGTCTATTTTATAAGGTTCTCAAAATAACTAAATGAGATAGCACATGTAAGGACCTAAGACAGTAGCTGGCACATAGTAAGCATTCAGGCATTTTACATGCATTGTCTAATTTAATTCTCACAACTCTGCAGAATGGGTGCTATTTTAATTCTGGCTTTATAGATGAGATTAGTGAAGTTTAAAGATTAAGAAATTGTACAAGGTCAGACAGGAAATATGAAAGGTACAGTCCAGGTCTTCTCCTAAGCCAGCCTTCTTCATCACCATGCCATAAAGAGATTGTTATAATGAAATGACTCAGAATTCCCCATCTACCAATTTTTGTTAAGAGTATACAGACCTTTTGGGAACTTCTTAAAGTGATAGTCTCAGAAGAAAGCACTGGGATAGACAAGGTGAGAAGTGTAGATTTTTATCTTACAAAAGGGAAGAATTTAAAGCTGCCTTTAAATATTTGAAAGGCTGTCAGGAAGTCGTGTGAAAGGGTCACTGAATTTGTTTCATGTTACTCCAGAAAGAAGAGATTAGGAGCAATGGATGAAAATTGGAGGAAAGCTGTGGCTTAATACAAGAAAAAACTGGCTAGTAGGCAGAGGTGCTCAGGAGGCATGAGTTCCATGTTAGAGATGTTTGAACACAGACTGGATGACTAATAAAAGGATACCCTGGCAGAGATGCCATCAGATGTCAGTGAGGTTAGACAGATGACGTTTAAGCCTCTTCACAAGATACAAATAACAACACAAAGATATGACTTCCTTTCTTCTAATCAATGGATCAGGCAACCGCACTCCATCTAACTGCTTCCTCTTCCTCTGTTGCTTCCTCCTTCGTTGCAGCAAAACTCACTGAGCTTGATCTAGACAAACCCTCAGAAAAAATATTTGTTTAATTTTAGATTCTTTCTTCCCTGGTGCCTCTCCTTCCATATTTTAAAAATAAATAAATTTTTATTTTTTTAAATATAAAATTGTTTATTATGTACAACATGATGTTTTAAAGTATATATACATTGTGGAATGGTTAAATTGAAAATAACTAGGCCAACTCAAACTTACTCTCAACTTCATCAATATAGAAATAGCTTTGGAAAAAAATTACATATCTATTTTTATGTCCTACTTTACTCAGAAAAATAAGACTTACAAATATACAGTAAAATAAGTTATATTGGGCACAGTTGAAAGAAATGTAAAAAGATAAAAAGAACTCAAGAATGAGGCTAATTTAGTAAAAATATATATATCATAAAAACCCTACTATACTTACTACAGGTGGTTCTTTCTACCACTAGAAGGCAAGCCTGTTGCATATAGAGAATGGAAATTGACCAGTTTCTCAGAACAAATATTTTTATTATCTTGGATAGGATAGGAATTTCTTAATAGGAATGCCATAATCAGTGGTGTGTAGTAAATGTTGAATAGTTTTCTGGAAAACAGTATGAATATATATGTACATAAACTTGTTATAAATATTGCTGATATGAACAATGTATAGTACACAATTAGAAAAATACACAATAGTCTTTATTGTAATGTCCATACAGACAATTCATTCTCACAGAATGCTTTCCTTGATTTTTGCCTAACTTTTGCATTGGTAAGCAACTGTCAATGTAATTCAATCATAATTTGACATATGGAGATTTAAATGGTATTTAAAATCTATTTCCATAATAAATGCATTATGATATTTGACATGAATATTGTCTAATATTTTCATTTACATTAAAGAGTAAAAAGAAAGTAAAACAATAATGTATGTTAAAACATCATGTATTTATTAAAATCAATAAATGTGAGCAATTTCTTTGCTGAATTGGAAGAATATTTTGTCAATTTTTGTTCTATTTACAGTGAAACAGATTCAGACACAACAAACCTATCTCATCTGCATATTAACATTTTTTCCTTTACTTTTTAAAGCCTGCCCCAGGGGCCAATAATCTGGATGATGGGCCAAATCTGGCCTATGGCCTGATTTTGTTCAGTCTTTGAGCTAAGAATGTCTTTATATGTTTAAAGTGCTTCTGAAGAAAAAAACAAAAACAAAGAATGTGCAACAGGCTGTATGTATGCCTGAAGTAGGTACTGTTTGGCCTTTTGCAGAAAAAAAGTGCTGCCCCTGGACATCAACAAAATAATAAATCAAGCTTGATTTGTAAGGTTTACCAATTTCCATGGTGTAAAATACTCCTACCATGGCTGATTTCAACCTATCACTATGACCTCACTGAACATGTAGTTGGGAAGAAAAGCACAGTAGCACAGTATTATATGGTATTTTCACCATACAGAAATGAAGATGTAAATAACCTTAAGAACATACAGAACAGTAAAATATAGAAATACAATTAGAATGTAACAAATTTTGTTTTAATTACTTTTGCTTTGAATGTAATTTATTTACTGGTATGTTTATATAATTCAATTTTTTAAAATAATGGCTGTGTTTAACAACCTGCTTACAAAATTCCTGAAAATTTAACAATTGGCTTTTGCAAACCTATGTGAGCCAGGTTCAGCACACCACCACATAATACATTTCCACATGTCCTCTGGGATTAGGAAAACCAGGGTATCATACAAAGTACTAATCAGTTGAAAGGAAGCTATTACTTATTTTGCTTCCTGCTAGAACTAATATGTATTACCCATGAAATAATGTAATGTGATCTTCCTTTATCTTTGCAGTATATTGACAAATTAGACATAATAGACCTCACATGCCTTGCTGAGCAGAATTCAACTGAAAAGAATTGTGCGAAATTCACCCTTGTTTTGCCGAAAGAGGAAGTACAACTGAAGGTGAGTGAGGAGAAACAGTAGTCTGTAAAGGGTTGTGGTTATAAATAACATTCTTCACATCCAGTGGCTAAAGTAAAGAGAAATTGTAAGACAGGCTAAGTCTTATACTTTGTTAATATTTTTTGCTTGCGTCTGGCCAAGAGCTAGTTTTCTGAATTGGAATATAAAAAGACATGGTCACTTGTTTAGCATACAAGCACCATGAAACCAGATACTCCTGCGCTCTGACAAAGTCAGGGATCCCACCTGGTGTGTGTTAAGGTTGTTCTTGAATCAGCATTCAAAATGAGCCAATAAAAGTCAACCAGTAACTATAGTAATAACATAAAGAGAACAACATGTATTAAATAAGATATACTCGGAGGCTTTTCCTGGGAGATTACTGACTGACCTTGAAAAGCACTGGTCTAAGCTTTAGTGTAATAGGAATCACCTGTACTAAGGAAATAGGACCCCCATTCCCCAACCCAAAACCTATATTTTAAGCAAGCTTCCAGATGATTTGCAGATATGATGGTGAAGAGCACAGGATTGGTGTCGGATACTTGGGTCTGAATTTGGGCTGTTTTATTCATTCATTGTGATTATAGGCAAGTTACTTACCCTTTTTGTGTCTTTGTTTCTTCACTCAGAAGTAAGTCTTTGCTCAGATGAAACCCCCTCATCAAGGTCTACCTGGACCACTTTATTACAGTGGCAACCTTTTCCCCCTCTCCTACCCTCTAGTTGCACTCCTAATCTCTCTTACCCTTCTGTACCTTTAATTTTTCTCATTTCTTTCTTTTTAACACTATAAAATTTACTATTATGTTTATTATTTATTGTTCCTTGCTAGACCCTAAACTCCATGAGTACAAGGATTTTTGTTTCGTTTCCTGATACAAACCAGTGCGTAGAATAGTGCTTAGCACTTAAAGGTACTTAGTAAATATATGTTAAATGAATAAATCTGTAAAACCATCAAACAAGCAAAAATAATAGGACCTTTCGCCAAGTTGTCTTGAAGGTTAAATCAAGTAATACCTGTGAAGTGCTTAGAATGGTAGCTACCACTAAAAGTGCTCAAAACATGTTGGCTGCAGTCTTGACCTTCCAGGTTCAAGCAACTTTCCCACCTTAGCCTCTCAAGTACCTGACACCACCACACCAGGCTAATTTTTTGTATTTTTTGTAGAGACGGGGTTTCACCATGTTGCCCAGGCTGGTCTCAAACCCCTGAGCTCAAGTGATCCTCCCACCTCAGCCTCCCAAATCGCTGAGACTACACACATGAGCTACCAACCCTGGCCTGGTATTGTTACTGGTAATAACAAGTAATAGTACTTACAGCTAAGAATTGGAAGTTTCTACTTCCAAATTTGGTTGTCCTGAATTTAAAGCCAGTCCATTTTAACTGCTAATGGAGAGAGTCACTGTGAATTGACATACTGCAAAAGTAAGTTTTCTAACATTTAATTTTTTTGAGTAAATTCGTACATGTTCATTTGTTTTAAGTAAGCAAACAGATTACAGCTATACATCTTCTGACAAAAGAAAATAGTATTGAAATATTTCACAAAAAATACACATTAGTAATTCTAAGCCAAAAAAAGAAAATGAATTATTTATTTTAGGCTCAGCCATAATTATTTATTTTATGCTCAGTCACTCATGTGTTTCCTTCTTTGGCTTTATCTGTTTTTGTCTTCAACTTTAGACAGAGAACACAGAAAGTGGGGAAGAATGGAGAGGCTTCATTCTTACAGTAACAGAGGTAGGAAGCTCACTGCTTTTGATTGATTCTTTTTTTTTTTTTTTCCAACAAATATCTGCCGAACACCCTATGAACCATGCAGAGTGAAAGTGGCTGAAGATATAGCAATTGAAAAAGATAGACCTAAACTCTTGCACTTACTTATGAATGTTATATTTTCATCAGGTGGTGGAGAGGGAGAAAGTAAACAAGTAAACAGATGATCATTTCACATTGTGATAATTGTTATGAAGAAAATAAGGCAATTCGCTAGGGAGTAACAGGTGGTAAAGGAGATCTATTTTTTGGTCTTATCCATTTGACTCATTGGTCCTTTGTATATTCTGATATTTGTAGCTAATACAGCATGTTTGAAAATATTTTCCAACTTCTTTTTTTGTTTGTTTTTTTTGAGATGGGGTCTCACTATGTCCCCCAGGCTAGAGTGCAGTGGTATAATTTGGCTCACTGCAACCTCCACCTCCAGAGTTCAAGTGATTCTCCTGCTTCAGCCTCTCAAGTAGCTGGGATTACAGGCATGCACCATCATGCCCAGCCAATTTCTGTATTTTTAGTAGAGACGGGGTTTCATCATGTTGGCTGGGTTGGTTTGGAACTCCTGGCCTCAAGTGATCTGCCCGCCTCGGCCTCCCAAAGTACTGGGATTACAGGTGTGAGCCACTGCGCCCGGCCTCCGATTTCTTTTTTATTTATTTAATACATATTTATAGAATAGTAGACAAGATGAATTTTATAAATAACATAGACAATGTAAAAGGGAGAGACCAGAAAAATGAAAACTCACCTTTAAACGTTTCTTTAGTGAGTCTTAAAGCAACAGGATACTTACCTGTTCAATTCTGTGGTGTTTTATCAGAGGCAAATAGTAAGATCTACTGCTTAGAGTTAACTCTTGCAGTCAGATAATGTCCGTTATTTTAAATAAAGCCACTGTAGCAATTGCCTTGGAAATATGAGGTTCTTTGATAACCAGCCTCCCAAGGAGCACCACGTTCTCTAGTAATTTAAAAGGATATAAAAACTGTGTTTGTTAGAGTCAGTTAAACACAGATTCTATCCAAAGCTAGTTTCTAAGTAAGCCATCGCAGTCATCTGAAATAAGCAGTGCACTTTACCAAGTTGATGAATGGAACTTCTTTACTTCAGCCAGTAAAAGGTAAAAGTTAGAGGTTCAACTACTGTGTAGGGAAGCTATATGAGGCTAGAAAAGTGGACCAGTTAAAGATGTGAAGAACATGTTGACTTCTGAGAGGGAGAGGAAGAAATCCTAGAGAATTGCACTCTTTCCCTCTGTTGTTGAAAGTATCACTGTGTGGTATGGTGCTTCCAATACGGGGTATAACTATCCCAAGGGTATATGTGACTAAGTGTCAAGGAGTACACTAAAAACACTGGCAAAAACTTGTTGCATCTTCCTGGTACACTAAGTACGTATAAAGTTTTGGCTAAACATTTTGTTTTTAGTTTCTTTCCTGGAGTAAGAATAAAAAGCATTATTTTTATATTAAAACACACACATAAATAAGTAACTGAATATAAGATAAAATTTATGATAATTTTTTTTTTTTTTTTTGAGATAGAGTCTCATGCTATCATCCAGGCTGGAGTGCAGTGGTGAAAGCTTAGCTCACCGTAACCTCCACCTCCTGAGTTCAAACAATTCTCCTGCCTTAGCCTCCCGGGTAGCTGGGATTACAGGTACCTACCACCATGCCCGGCTAAGTTTTTTAAAAAAATGTTTTTAGTAAGAGATGGGGTTTCACCATGTTGGCCATGCTGGTCTCAAACTCCTGACCTCAAGTGATGCTCCTGCCTCGGCCTCTCAAAGTGCTGGGATTACAGGTGTGAGCCACCATGCCCAGCCTATGTGAATTTTTAAGAGAAGACAAGTTGCCTCAATTTTGTACTCTGTAAATGTTGTTTTGTGTTATGATTCCAGATCACGGCATACGAACAATTTACAGTATGTTGTTATTAGGATAACTTTAGTAGAGAAGTGAGAGCAGCTCAGACTGTATGTAGTTGAAAGCATGGAGACATTACTTTTGAATCAAATAAACCCCATTTTGGGTCCTGGTTCCATAACTTACTAGCTATGTGACTCTGGATTAGTTATTTAATCTTTCTGAGCTTGATTTTTTTTTCTATTTGTATTAGGCCATTCTTGCATTGTCATAAAGAAATACCTAAGACTGGGTAATTTATAAAGAAAAGAGGTTTAATTGGCTCATGGTTCTGCAGGCTGTACAGGAAGTATGGTGCCAGCATCTGCTCAGCTTCTGGGAAGGGCCTCAAGGAGCTTTTACTCATGGCACAAGGTGAAGGGGGAGCAGACATGTCACATGGAGAGAGTAGGAAAGACAGAGAGTGGGGAGGAGGTACCACACACTTTTAAATGACTAGATCTCACAAGAATTCACCCACTAACATAAGAAAAGCACCAAGCCATGAGAGACTCATCCCCATGACCTAAACACCTCCCACCAGGCCCCACCTCCAACACTGGGGCTAATTCAACATGAGCTTTGGTGGGAACACATATCCAAACTATATCACCATTTGTAAATTGGGGATAACAATACCATTTTTTTTTTTTTGAGATGGAGTCTTGCTCCGTCGCCCAGGCTGGAGTGCAGTGACTTGATCTCGGCTCACTGCAACCTCCGCCTCCCAGGTTCAAGCAGTCCTCCTGCCTCAGCCTCCCAAGTACCTGGGATTATAGGCACATGTCACCCAAAATTTTTGTATTTTTAGTAGAGACGGGTTTCACAATGTTGGCCAGCTGATCTTGAACTCTTGACTTCAAGTGATCCACCTGCCTTGCCCTCCCAAAGTGTTGGGATTACAGACATGAGCCACTGCGCCCTCCCGTGTAACAGTACTTTGCAGCATTTCTGTGAGGAGTTGCAATACAACATGTACAATGCTTGAGCTATAATAGCCAATTAATAAAGATATGTGCTTCATTAGGTATTTTTCCCCATTATTTTATTTTTTCTGGTATATATGGAAATTGTTTTACTGGTTATTAGCTTAGTTATCTAAAAATGTCTCTAAGCCCTTTTTATTGTATATCCCTATTAGTAAATGTTTATGTAAATTTTATATGTACTTGTACACATATTCAAACATATATAATAATACAAATTAGTGAAATAGTAACTTAATAGAAAGTGAAGTTATAATGTTTTCTTCCCATACTCTAATGAACTTTCTTGTATACCTCCTGGAAAGCATGCACCCTTCTCTGAAGATAAACGTGATAATCACATAAGGCTGCCTCCAAATACAGACTTGCTAGTGTTACGTACAAAAAATATCCTACCATTCAAACTACACCTTTCAAGAACACAGAACTGGTCATAATAAGGTCAAAATTGGAGGTATGAATATAAATCAGAAGGACATATATAGGTGAGTCAATATGAAATACATCTCTAGGAAAGGTAACAACCACCACAAAACCAACGAATAAGTAGAAATATCATAATTCTAACACGTGAATGAATGTTTGAAACACACCACAGACACAAAATAGGGACCTCTGACTGCCGCTCTTCAGTCATCTAATGAACAGTTCCATTTGAATCCCATGTTGCCAGATAGCTGGGGGAAATCATTTCAGATTACTTATGAGAGAGTAAGGTACCTTGAAGGTGTTCTGGAACTTCCCTGGCATTGATGAACTAGTGAGCTCAGAATGAAAAATATGAGGTTTGTTGTTACTTGAATTAGCTTTTAGTGCAAGGTGGGGTATTCTTTGCTTTGGGGCCAAACCAAAAGATTCCTTGGAAGAAGGGTAGGCACTCTGTGCAGATTGTAGTTGGTGCAGAGGCAGTTCTGAGACACCCACCCTAGACTAAAATCCTGTTTCTTATTACCTTATTCCCTACTCACTCACCTCTGTCAGGTAACTGCAGTCCTGTAGGATCAGAACAGGTTCATCTTTACTAAAGTTGTAAGTTATTAAGCTGTTTTCTTGCCTGCCTACTCTTTTAATTGGTTTCAGCTGTCAGTTCCCCAAAATGTGTCACTCCTACCTGGGCAAGTAATTAAACTACATGAAGTCCTAGAGAGAGAAAAGAAAAGGAGGATTGAGACAGAGCAGAGTACATCTGTGGAAAAAGAGAAGGAACCAACTGAAGATTATGTGGATGTACTGAACCCTATGCCAGCGTAAGTGCACAATGAACTGCAGTTTGTTCATTCAATTGTTAAAACTAATTTCTAATTATCAAGGAGAGTTAGCCACTTGCTCTTGCTAAGCCAGGGACAATATGCAGTCTTGGGGATAAACTGTATATCTCTGAGTACATGCCACATTTCCTCTTCTATGTCATGATGAACAAAATGCAGATTTGAACTAACCATCTTACCACACAGGAAATCCCCTCCACCCACATCTTTAGAACAAATAGATACTCTTTCCAGAGCTCACACCTAAATAAAAACTCTATGAAGAAGGCAGGAAAAGATACTTTTTCACTATGCAAACTCTATGATTGACTGATTTTCTATGATAAAATTATACCAATAAATTTTCAGTATCTAGAATGTTCAATCCAACCGACCAATTAGTGAGTAGTCATCGAGCTTGTACTTTGTCAAAGACCTTGTATAAAATGTTTAAGGTACTGGAAAAATAAAGAGGTGCAGAAAATGCTAAATTCACCAACGTCCTACATTTATTTTTTATATTATTGAAAAGATTCTGAGCTCTTTCCTCCAGGAATCTTGGTGTTGTTGTCAGTAAAACTTGTCTTGGTACCCTGTTTGACATCAGGTTCTGTTGCATACTCTATCTGTGCTACAATCACCGAAACCTGACAACCATCATTTTTACCTGAAACCACTGGCAACTGATAGATTGACTAAAAGTCACACGGACTGCTAATTTTTCTTTTTTCTCAATAAAACAAGTAATATATGTTTATTACATATAAAAGATTAAAATCATTCCTTGTTCCACCACTCAGAGATATTTGCTATTAACATTTTCGGGTTTTTTTTTTTTTTTTTTTTTTTGAGACAGCGTCTCATTCTGTTATCCAGGCTGGAGTGCAGCAGCGCGATCTCAGCTCACTGCAATCTCCACCTCTGGGTCTCAAACGATTCCCATGCCTTGGCCTCCTGAGTAGCTGGGACCACAGGCGCCTGCCATTGCACCTGGCTAATTTTTGTATTTTTGCAGAGATAGGGTTTTGCCATGTTGCCCAGGCTGGTCTTGAACTCTTGAGCTCACGTGATCCACCCGCCTTGGCCTACCAAAGTCCTGGGATTACAGGTGTGAACCACCATGCCCAGCCTTCTACCAGATCTTTTCTATGAGTTTTTTTTTCTATGAATATAACTATATATTTTCTTGACTACGATGTACAGGTGGTCTGTATAAGTTGAACAATGGTTAAATGACTTTTTAACTTTAAGATGATGCAAATGCAATACGCATTCAGTATAAACTCTACTTTTTGAGTACCCATACACCATTCTGTTTTTCACTTTCAGTACAGTATTCAATAAACTGCAGGAGACATTCAACATTTTATTATAAATAAGCTATGCATTAGATGATTTTGCTCATCGATAGGCTAATGTAAGTGTTCTAAGGATTTTTAAGGTAGGCTAGGCTAAGCTATGATGTTCAGCAGGTTATGTGTATTAAATGCATTTTCAGCTTATATTTTCAACTTGGAGTGGGTTTACCGGGATATAATCCTATCATAATTCAAGGAGCATGTGTATATTATAAAAATGAGAAGTGCATTTTTTATTTTGCACATAAAAATAACAATGCCATAGAAAGACATATTACACCAAAAGAAATGAGTGCAAACATATGTAAATATCAGTTGTTTAAAACTTAGACCATACAAGAGAAACATTTACAGATGTTTTGTATCCCTGAAAGGAAACTCCCAATAAATATTTATCCAAGAACCTACTTATCAACTGAGACTGGGGATACATTGTTAATTTTTGTTGGTAATGATGATCATATACTGATCAGTAGATAACTTTTCAGGTTCTCTTTGTATAAAAAGGCTTTGGAAGAATTAAGGAAGGAAGACCTTAACGTTAGCATACACAGAGTGACACAGGCTTGTAATAATAGATCATTGTAATTACATAATTGGAATAATCAAACCAGAAGTTTTAAGAAAAGTTAACAACTGCAGCTCTCAAAGTTATTTTGGCAGTATTTTTTCAAGTAATTATCTTTGTCAGTTAAAAAAAATATTCTGTTTTTTATCTTACCTCTGTAGATGTTTTTATACAGTGTCCCGGAAAGAGGCAACTGAGATGCTCCAGAAGAACCCTTCTTTGGGAAATATGATCCTGAGGCCTGGTAGTGACAGTAGAAACTACTCCATCACTATCCGGCAGGAGATAGAGTATGTTTAATTTTTTTTTTTTTTAATGTATGGAATTTTTAAAAGCATGGTATCACTTAATACAAGTCCAGATCAGCACCTGCTATGTGTTTCATTGGGGCTAAAAATATGAACATAAGTGGCCAGGCATAGTGGCTCACGCCTGTAATCCCAGCACTTTGGGAGGCTGAGGCAGATGGATCACGAGGTCAGGAGATCGAGACCATCCTGGGTAACACAGTGAAACCCCGTCTCTACTAAAAATACAAAAAAGTAGCCAGACGTGGTGGCACGTGCCTATAGTCCCAGCTACCCGGGAGGCTGAGGCAGAAGAATTGCTTGAACCCAGGAGGCGGAGGTTGGTGAACTGAGATCACGCCACTGCACTCCAGCCTGGGCGACAGAGCAAGACTCCGTCTCAAAAAAACAAACAAATAAACAAAAAAAACACAAGAATAGGAGGGAATGTCATAAAAGCAATGCTAAAGACTGAGCCAATGCTAACATTGGCAGGGAAGAAGAAAGAATAACACATTATTTTGGTCCTGGGTATAGTTGTATTGTTCATTCATTCAAGTCAACAAACATTTATTAAGCACCTGCTATATGCCAAGCAATACTCTAGGCACTGAGAATACAGCAGTGAAAAAAACAAACATCTCTGTTTCGGTTTGAGTTGCCTAGCAATAAAAATATAAAAAGGAAAACATCCCTGGCTTGAATCTTCCATGAGTTACAATTTTGTAGGGAGACAAAGACTTAAACACATAACTAAAAATATGTAGCAATAAGGTCTATAGAGTAAAATAAAGCAGGATGAGAGAGACGGGAACCCTCAGGGGTGATAAAGGGAGCACATTTTTATGGTTGCGGTTGTTTTAATACAGAGTGGTCAAGGAAGACCTACTTTATTAACTGATTTAAGCAGAGAGCTGAAGGAAGTGAGAGAATAAACCCTACCTATATCTGGGGCAAAAGTGCTCCAGGCAGCAAGTGCATATGCTTTGAGACAGAAGGATGTTTGACTTGTTCAAGAAAAGAAGAAGGCTGCTGTGACTGCAATGCAATGACCACAGAGAAAAGTCTTAGGAGAGGAGATTCCAGAGGTGGGGGTAGGGACACATCACTCAGAGCCCTACAGATCATCGTAGGGACAAGGGTTTTACTTTGAATGACATGAGAGGCCACTGAACTGTTGTCATAATCTGACTTATTTATTAAAAAAGGGCCACTTAGGAGCCTCTTTGTCAAGGTTACTAATTTCTTTCTGGTAAAATGGTCTAACTTTGATAAAGTCAGTAACACTTAAATCCAACTTATTTTTCTGTGTAGTTAGGGTACTTAGATCTTTTAATAGACTCCAGCTTTCAAAGTCTATGAGAACTTGCACTTCATTGGGGACTCTGGCTTAGTTAATACTTCCACAACTGATAATATAATTTAAATATCGAGGTTTTGTCCTACATAAAAATATTCAATAAGCTGGGCGTGGTGGCTCACGCCTGTAATCCCAGCACTTTGGGAGGCCGAGGTGGGCGGCCCACGAGGTCAGGAGATCAAGCTCACCCTGGCTAACACGGTGAAACCCTGTCTCTACTAAAAATACAAAAAATTAGCTGGGCGTGGTGGTGGGCGCCTGTAGTCCCAGCTACTTGGGAGGCTGAGGCAGGAGAATGGCGTGAACCCGGGAGGCGGAGCTTGCAGTGAGTCGAAATTGCGCCATTGCACTCCAATCTGGGTAACAGAGCAAGAGTCCATCTCAAAAAAAAAAAAAAAAAAAAAAAAGAAAATATTCAATAAATGACTTTCTTTAATAAACATGCATAAACAGAAATTTGACTTTTGAATTTGCTATTCCTTATGGGGATAATATTATTTTATTAAATTTTATACTATAACACATCTATCAAGGAATCTATCTACTAATCTGCCCCATAAATATCTATAATTCTAAATATGAAGACACGTATGGCGAATAATGGTAGTTAAAAAGAAACAAGTTCCAGAGACAAATTTAAAACATTGCATTATGGCTACATTGCTAGTGTGAGCCACAGCCCAATAAGATTTATTCATTTGCCAGTAAACAGATCCTTGTCTTACACACTAGTCATGGGCACTTTAACAGATGGCAAGAATGTTAGATGGTAAATCAGATCATGGTTCTTTGTGTAAGGAAATGTGTGTGTGTATATCTCTGTGTGTATATTTCTACAATGAATGTCTGTCAACTTAAACTTGTGGTTTCATTATTTTTTGTTTATTATAAACTAACATTTTAAGTTAATGGATTTTCAACTCTATTGAAATATGGTAAAAAATAATAGATTTTTCAGTTACAACCTGATTTGATTTATAATTTACTTGACTATCTTGATACAAATCCAAAAGAAATCATTTTTCTTATTGTCATGATTGCCATTAAGTATCAGTGAACTGAGAATAATTTGTAGGAAAAAAGTGGATTTTTCTCTTTAGTGTATCCTGGTCAAGAAGTTTGTCCTGGCCGGGCACGGTGGCTCAAGCCTGTAATCCCAGCACTTTGGGAGGCCGAGACGGGCGAATCACGAGTTCAGGAGATCGAGACCATCCTGGCTAACACGGTGAAACCCCGTCTCTACTAAAATACAAAAAAAAATTAGCCGGGCGAGGTGGCAGGCGCCTGTACTCCCAGCTACTCGGGAGGCTGAGGCAGGAGAATGGCGTGAACCCGGGAGGCGGGGCTTGCAGTGAGCTGAGATCCGGCCACTGCACTCCAGCCTGGGCAACAGAGCCAGACTCCGTCTCAAAAAAAAAAAAAAAAAAAAAAGAAGTTTGTCCTTTTTCAGGATTTAGGAAATTGTGTATCACATAAACTACAGCATATCCTTAACTGTTTACTTCCACTTTTAAAAATGAGAGGATATAACACTGAATTAAAAATTAAGAGATAGCAGATTTTTAATAGAAACATAATCTAACTGCTTAAAAGTAAAATTAGATCACCAAAGGGAGTGATTTTTTTCTTTTCCTTAATGTCATTCCTTTCTTGGTCAGATTAAGTGGTTGATCCATTAACACGTGACCTCTGTCTTACTATTCTGCATGAAATGAACAAAATCTCAAGACTTGATAGCTCCTTAAAGACTGCATATTTCGGCCAGGCATGGTGGCTCACGCCTGTAATCCCGGCACTTTGGGAGGCCGAGGCAGGCGGATCAAGAGGTCAGGAGTTTGAGACCAGCCTGACCAACATGGTGAAACCCTGTCTCTACTAAAAATACAGAAATTAGCTGGGCGTGGTGGCACGTGCCTGTAATCCCAGCTACTCAGGAGGCTGAGGCAGGAGAATCGCTTGAACCTGGGAGGTGGAGGTTGCAGTGAGCTGAGATCTTGCCACTGCACTCCAGCCTGGGCAAGAGAGCAAGACTGTCTCAAAAACAAAAAAACTGCGTATTTCTTGCACAATAGCAGCCTGATCCCTTTTAAGGTGGTCTAGATTAGTACAACACTTTCATTACATTTTCTATACAATTAACTGAGAAATAACTGTTTTCTGCTACAGACGTGGTGTGTGACTAAACACAGTGATTATCTGTACTTAGGATTTGAATATAGTGTCACAGTTTTTACTCACAATTGCATTGTATTTAAGTTATATGTTAAGCTCATAAGAGAGTACAGAAAAGGAGTTCATATCAAAGTTGCATAATTCTAAATGTAATAAGCTCACTTTCAGTTTGAATTCATACAGAAATTCATGCTTTTGTTAGCTGATGGTCATCAAAACTTACAACATTTTATAAAACTAATCACTCTCCCCCTACAAAAGTTCATATTTGGAAAGCAAGAAGTATGGTTAAATTAAAGCATTCTAACACTAGAGTCAGTATGCACTTATTTAGGCTTTGAGAAATAGTTTATACCTGGAAGTGGATAAGAAAAAATCAACTGTATTGCACAAATTTTCTTTACATGCCAAATCCATCTATGATGTCAAAGTTTGTTAAATGTATTCTCTAATGCCTCAAAACAGGTGTTTCAGAGTACCTGAATTTAATATCTTCCATGTAACAGGTCACTTAATTTTAAAGGATAACAGTTGTAGAGAGTATTAGAATTTTAGCTTGTTATATGGTACAACTTAATGTAAAGAATTTGGTAGAAACCTCGGCTACTGGGAAACACTTGTATTACTCACAAAACCAATTCATTCTCTTACAGGTTATGGGAGAAAGTTCAGTCATGCAAGTTAGATGACTGTGTCTGGTAAAACATTCGCTGAAAAGTACAAGTTGGTTTACAAAGCAGTACATGAAAATAAAATTATCTCCATCTGTTAACAGAGCAGCTGTGGGAGGGAAGACTTGTTCTCAGGAATAAACAAAAGCCATTCAATGCCAAATTACCAGATGACTCTTGTCTCAGTGTAGACTATCATCCACCTTTACCCAGCCCAGTGGTGCGTGAATTCATAAGACATAAACTGTTCTTATAACAGAACTTCATGGCTTGGTTTGGTTTTCTTGAAAATGTTATGACTAGGTACAACTAGTAGTATGGAAACTTTGGAAAGCCATTAGCTAACGAAGCAGTAGGAAACATTTACCCAAAATGTATTTATTTGCAAAAATTGAGGTCAGAAGCTAAGAATATTTAAGGGAACACCTTTTGTTATAAAAAAAAAAAAAAATAAAAGACTTGCTACTTCTGTTTTGAGGTCAGCATAAGGAAACCTTAATATAGCAAATTCTACCAATCTTGTTTTTTTCATCTCTTTTTATTTCTTTGGAAAAGCAGAACAAAACAGAAGAAAGGAAAGCGCAATGTCTAAAAAGAGAGTCAAAACCTAAGCAACTTCAATGGAGTTTTTTTCCCACCTCTTTCTGTTCCAGAATTTCAATGTATTAGTCAAAAGTTCCAAGATGCCTTGCTGACCTTTGCCACTTTTCCTCCCACGGCTTTGCCATGGATGATGATGATGATGATGATAAGACGGCGGTTTTTTTTTTTTTTTGAGACGGGGCCTCAGTCTGTCTCATAGGCTGGAAGTGCAGTGGCGCCATCTCGGCTCACTGCAAGCTCAGCCTCCCGGGTTCACTCCATTCTCCTGCCTCCGCTTCCCGAGTAGCTGGGACTACAGGTGCCTGCCATCACGCCCTGCTAATTTTTTGTATTTTTAGTAGAGACAGGGTTTCACCGTGTTAGCCAGTATGGTCGCGATCTCCTGACCTCGTGATCCACCCGCCTTGGTCTCCCAAAGTGCTGGAATTGCAGGCGTGAACCACTGCGCCCGGCTGATATGATGGCTTTTAATAACAGCAATTGTTGTTCTCCTTATAGGTTACCATTTGTGGGTCCTATGTTGAGTACTGGCGAACATTTCCTTCAGGCAAAATAAAAACTTTGAGACAGACAGTATTTTCCATGTTTTACAAATGAAGAGGATGAGACTCACAGAAACTACAACATTAAAACAATACATTTAAGAAGTAGTAAAAATGATTATAATTTACCAAGCGGTTAAATGTGCCAGACACTGTACTAAGGGCTTTGCAAACATTAACTTACAGCAGCCCCGTGAGGCAAGGCACCATCTCCATTTTACAGACGAAGAAAATGGAGGATCAGAGAATCCACATGACAGAATCGGAATTTGAACCAAGTTTTCTATCAGTCTTCCAACGAACAGCAATCCCTTATTTAATGGGAATACAGGAATTCTAATGGAAATTGTAGAGTTTCCAAAAGTAACTGTCTGATTACGAAGATCTTATTATGATGTGATAAAGATAAAGCCAGATACAACCACTCTGAAAGGGTACTATATAATAACCTTCTGTGTCCAAAAATGCTTCCTTTACCAACTTGCAACTGATTCCTGAAATTTCAGCATTAAGGAATGCTGAATGCCTTTTAGGAAGGGAAAGGGTTGGTTGGGTTTTATCCCATGTTTTGAAAGTAGGTTATTGGAATTTATGAGCTGTTTTCCATTGTGATATCCAATTGAGAGGTGATTTGGATACAATGGTGGATGAGAAGAGTTCCCTTAATAGAAGACTTCAGTTTCAGTCCTAACTGAAAATGAAAGGAGAAGCGATTTTAAAAAAGGTAGAAAGACCCTGTGCCTAGCTTAACCTGATGAACACTTTTGTTTTAGACAGCTTCTATTGTACATAGGACAAATGCTTAATTTTAGCGTGTCATTCAATCAAATGACAAAGTAATAAATGCTGTTAACCTGTCAACACTAGAAAAAGTTTTCATCCTAACATGCTTGTCATACAAATCAAGGGAATTCAAGACAAATATATGCTAGTTCAAAACTAACTGACAAGGATACTGACTTCTGATCTCAGTATAAATTTGCTTAGTTCTAGCAGATAACATTACCAGATGGGGCATCCTATTTTTTTTTCTTTTTTTTGAGACAGGGTCTTACTCTGTTGCCCAGGCTACAGTGCAGTGGCGCAATCATAGCTCACTGCAGCCTCAACCTCCTGGGCGCAAGGGTTTTGCTCACCTAACACCTGAGTAGCTGGGACCACATATACATGCCACCATGCCTGGCTAATTTTTTTATTTTATTTTTATTTTTAGAGATGGGGTCTCACTATGTTGCCCAGTCTTTTTCTAACTCCTGGGCTCAAGTGATCCTCCTGCCTTGGCCTTTCAAAAGTGCTGGGATTACGGGCATGAGCCATCCCACTCATCCAGCTCCTAATATTTTAAAAACTCAATTTTATAAATACCTATTCTGTGCCTAATGCTAGAATACAGAGATGCATAGGATATGCCTCTTGTTCATAAACATTTCATAATCAATAAAATACTCTGTATTTGAGTGGTAATAATTTTGAGTGCTATGTGACTATAGAAGAGGAAGACATTACAATTCATGTAATGTACTTACGTTATCATCTATATGTTCATATAGTGCCTAAGACCCAGTGTTTTCCATATCTCTAAGTCAGCCCCAAAGTTAGTGGATATCCAGGGTGGTATATGAGCTAACATGAATAACAGCTATTGAGGGCTTTCTGGTTGGACTGGTGATAATGTAGAGTAGAAAGCAATGTACTTTTAATAATTCTTTCTACTTCTCTCTTAATATGGAGAATATATATTTGATTTTATATATCTACATAGAATTTTATTATGTTTTTTACTTTCTAGGTTACTGACATTAAAAAAAATATTTCTGCCTGAAAGATTTTTAATTCTTGATTTCTTTTTTCCCTGTTTATTCTTTCTAATTTACTCACTCAGTGACTCAGATTACCTATATCCCTAGTGAGTAGCCCCCATAAAAAGACACTCTGCAAACCAGGTAAACAGAAAAACAAAAACCACCAAGGCTTTTTTTTTTTTTTTTTGCCAAACTCTAGTCATGACAACATAGGTTGATTATACAGGTGATATTTTATATTTACTTTAGTTTGCATTTACCCAATGGTATAATAAAATGGAGACTAACCATTTGTTTCATTGTAGCATGCCAAGAATCAAGCACTACAAAGTGATGAGTGTAGGACAAAACTACACTATTGAACTGGAAAAACCTGTAAGTAGCTAATTTTGTTGCTGATGAACTTCCTCCCGATTCCTTATAGCCTCCTAGTGCTGGCAAAAAGCAGGCAAGTTAAGGGCCCCTGAATGTGGCAGATATACAAGGTGAAAGTGAGATTCAGGAACAGGTGGGTGAGGCAGAGTAAAAGGTAATTTGCTTCTAAAAATTCTTTCCACTTTTCTTTCTCTGCAAGTCTCTCAAGGTTTGCAGGGAAAGAAAAGTGGAAAGAATTCAGGGAAAGAAAGATATTTTTTGTTAAACATTCACCAATTATACATCTTCAAATATGTTTATTTCTAATGGGAAGAAATCTATAAATGCCTAATCCTTTTAATACCTCTAATGCTGAAGTTCAGAAATCCTCTCTTAATAGCAACATAGTAGTGAAGAAAGGATTTCTATTTGTCTTCAACTTTTCTCCCACCCTAGCTGACGTATCATGGGGCTAATGATATAGCTAAGCACTTGACATATATCATCCAATGTAACTGTTATCATTACCCTGAGGTAGATATTGTTACGCCTTTTATACAGGTGAGATAATTGGTATTTACACTGTTCTGAAACAATGAGAATGTGGTGATGTGGCCTACATTCCAGGATGCTGAAAAAGAGAATATAGCTCTGTGATTTTAGGCTGCAGTAGTGGGAAGATTGAGTCAGGACAGATGTCTCCAGATATCACTTAAATAGAACTGGTGGGTCTTGAAGATATTTATATTTACCTAGTTCCTCTGCTTCTCCAGGCCCATTGTGTTGATCAAATAGAAAAAGGAACAGTGTGGTTGAATTTCTTATATTTGGTCATAATTCTTAGAGAGTAAGGTAGCTGCTGATTCATAGAGCACACTTCCATCGTTGCCATAAGTGCCTCCCAAAGCTGTTCAGTTATCAGATCCATTCCCAACTAGACTTTTAAAATGAAATTCAATAAAGAAGGCAGATAACTAGATTGCTAAAGGATAATCCAAATAACTAAGTGACTACAAGCAATGGACAAGGAAGAATAATGTGACATCTTTGTAACTGGGTGAACTGGGGCTCATTTCTGTCATTAGCTCATATAGTCTACAGTGTAAGGAAAACTAATAGCCTGGATTATTCTTTCATTTTTCACCATCCCCAACCCCTCAACCCCTCAATGAGGTTGTATTTTTGTGAATTTTTTTTTTTTTTTTTTTTTTTTTTTTTTTTTTTTTTAGAGACAGGAGTCTTGTTATGTTGCCCAGGCCTGAGCAGAGTGGCTGTTCACAGGCGCAATCATAGTGCCAGCCTGAAACTCCTGGGCTCAAGTGATCCTCCTACTTCAGCCTCCCGAGTAGCGGGAACTACAGGTGCATGCTACTGCGCCTGGCTCAGGAATTCTTTTTCCTCTTCAAGGTTATCTGGCATATTCTGGTATATTTATTCTGACTTCACTTGTATAAAAACATTAGTTTAGGGGTAGAGACATATTTTATCTACTCCTAGACCAGCAAATTATCCTGTTACAATAAAATACTAAAATGCTTAAATTCTCTGGTTTTAAAGGTTATTTGCTTTAAAGCAGAAGAAACCAACTACAGCTAACTTAAGAAAAAACAAATTTATTATAAGAACATAGAATGACTGGAAGGGTAGCAAACCTTCAGAGACTAGGAAGCAGTTACTTGTGCTAAGAACTATCTGATAAGGAAACTGGGTATCCTTCTTTGTTCTTCAAGTTCGAATTTCAGAAAGAAAGCATCTTCTGGCCTAACTTCAGTCACATTCTTTTGCTCCCCCCATTTTTTAAGGGACAGGGTCTTACGCTGTCACTCAGGCTGGGGTACAGTAGGACTATCATAACTCATGCAGCCTCGAACTTCTGGACTCAAGGAATCCTCCTGCCTCAGCCTCCTGAGCAGCTGGCGCTACAGGTGTGAGCTATCACACCTAGCTAATTTTTTCAATTTTTGTAGAGACAGGATCTCACTACGTTGCTCAGGCTGGTCTGAAACTCCTGGTCTCAAGTGATCCTCCCACCTGGACTTCCCAAAGTGCTGGGATTACAGGTGTAAGCCACCACACTTGGCTTACATTCTTATGCTTTAATTGAGGGAGAGCAAGCCACCTAACTATTGTCTACCAGATTGTGTTCAATGGGAAAGGTGATAATTCCTCAACAGGGAATGGACACATGGTCAATTAAAAAGGAGAAATAAGACACAGGGATAGGTAAAACTATGGTCATACAGTATGCCATTGAAGTGAAGTAATGACAGTAATCTCCATTAGATTCCAATTGAGCCTTCTCTTACTCTACCTTTATCCATGTGACGCTGAGTTTTCTCTCACTCTCTATTAATATAGGTAACACTCCCAAACCTTTTCAGCGTCATTGATTATTTTGTGAAGGAGACTCGAGGAAATTTAAGACCATTTATATGTTCAACTGATGAAAACACTGGTATGTTTTTCACTTCATTGCTCTGTTAAGGGAAACAAAACAAAACAAAACTCCCAAAACTCTGCATATGATTTATAGTACCAGCCAGGCAGGAACTGTAGTTCAGTCTTTAAATTTATCCATTTGGAAATCATTTTGTCACTCAGTCTGTGAAAATAGGAAAGTACCAATATGTATTATGAACAGAGTATGGGTGCATTCTAGGGAATGGAAAACCCTGAGGAAAGTATTATTACTATTAATTTCATTCTACCATTCTACTCGGCTTTATCTAACAAATTCAGAGGTAAGAGAAAACCATAATCATACAAGTTAATGGAAACAAAATGGTATTTAAAGGGATAGTCTGTCAACAATGTTAGATGCGTAATACGGGATAAAATGAATGAAGATTAAGAAGAGACGATGGGAACTGGTGATTAGCCAATACATGACTTGAGAGAGAGAAGTTTTATTCCAGTGTGAAGACAGAAGTCAGATTGCAAAATAACAAGGAATGAGTGGGTGGTGAGGAATTACAGATAAAGATTGTAGCTAGGACCAGCTACATAATTTGCTAGCCCCTTGTTCATAAATTAAGAATTTCAAAAACAGTTATAGCAAACAGTTTACACACCCCTGAAACTGGCTCTCTTTGCAGTCCAATTTCTGGCAGAGCAAGCCAGGCTGAATGTAATAGTAGTCTCTCTCTATCTTATGGAACAGTTCCTGGTACACATGGTCACTGGCAAACTGTATGCAGGACAGAGAAAGTATCTCCAGCTTGTTTGGATTTTAGTTATCAAAACAAGTCTCTTTTTTGACAGATTATGGGGGAAAGCAACCTTACTTGGCTACCGGCATCAAGGGCATATCTGGATAGTCTTATTAATTAAAAGGATAGCAAGTTTAAGAGTCCAAGTTCTTAAAACATGATTATGAATCTCGTGATGCCAAATAATAACAGTAACCAAAACCACAGAATCTCAGGATTTGAAGGAACTTTAGAAAATTATAGTATCTTATATGTTTAGAACTCACCTGCACATTCAGTACAGGAAATATCTCTAAGATATGATCCCTTCAGCTTGTCTGTAAATTGTGAATGTAAGGGGGCTTAAATTTGATTTTTGAAGCAGCACAGTTCATTTCTGGACAGTTCTCATATTAGAGAATTCTTCCTTGATATTGAATCTGAAGCATTCCCTCAACTTCTACATATTAATCCAATGTCTGCCTTTGAAACATTACGACTTAAAAGCCCGTCAAATTTTTAAAAATGTCTACAATGTTTCCCCTCAGTTTTTTACTCTGTCATCTAAATTATTGGTTCCTGAATTTCTCTCTCATCTTTGATGTTCTTTTTACATTGTCTAATTTTTAAACTTGTCACTTAAAATATGACCCTACTGAATAATAATGTTGAGCATCCTTTTATGTGTTATTTGCCATTATATATTTGGGAAAGTGTTTGAATCTTTTGCCCATATTTTTATTGGGTTGTTTTTCTTTCATACTTGTTTTGAGAGCTCTTAACCGATACAAGCTTTTTTTTTTTTTTTTTTTTTTTTTTTTTTTGTATGATTGGGAAGTATTTTCTCAGTCTGTGATTTGTCTTTTCATTCTTTTAACAGTGTCTTTGGGAGAGCAGAAGTTTTAAATTTTGCTTCTGTAGATTATACTTTGGTGTTATACCTGAGAACTCTGCCTAACCTAAAATCACAAAGACTATTTTCCTGTTTTCTTTTAGAAGTGTTGTAAATTTATGTTTCACATTTAGATCTATGATACATTTTGGATTTTTAAACTGGGAGGGATGGGTCAAGATTCATTTAGTTGCATTTAGATGTGTAATTGTTCCAGCTCCATTTGTTTAAAAAGATTATCCCACTGAACAGGGCAGCCCACACCTATAATCCCAGCACTTTGAGAGGACAAGGCAGGAAGATCACTTTGAGAGCATTGTGGGCAACAGAGGGAGACTTCATCTCTACAAAAAAAAAAAAAAAAAAAAAAAATGCTGGGTATGGTAGCCCATGCCTGTAGTCCTAGCTACTTTGGAGGGTGAGGCAGCCAGAAGTTCAAGGTTGCAGTGCACTGACTGTGCCAATGCACAATTTGAAAGGGCAAGAGTGAGACCCTTTCTCTAAAAAGTAAAAATAAAAATAAATACTTCTCCATTGAATTGTCTTTGCAACATCTGTAAAAATCTATTGACCATTTTTGCATGGATTAATTTCCAATGATATATGTTCCTACCATTTTGCCACATTTACTATAACTTCATAGTAATTCTTGAAACCAGGAGGAATATTTTGTTCTTTGCTCTTTTCTTTTTCAAAATTGTTTAGACTAGTCTAGTTTCTTTGCCTTTCATTATAAATTTTAGAATCAGCTTGTTGCTATCCAGAGAACAATTCTCCTGAGACTTTGACTGGATTGTGTCGAATCTGTTGATCAGTTCAGGAAGAACTGACATCATAATACTGAGTCTTCCAGTCGAGGAATGCAATATATTGGTATATTTTGGCTGTCCTTGATTTCTTTCATAGAGCTTTGTTTCAGCATACAGCATCGGCACATATTTTGTTTGATTTATAGGTATTTAAATTTTTGTTGCTGGTAAATGATATTCTGTAAAATTTGAATTCCATTGTTCATTGGTAGTGATATGGTTTGGCTATTTTCCCACCTGAATCTCATCTCAAATTATAATCCCCAAATGTTGAGGTAGGGACCTGGTATGAGGTGATTGGATCATGGAGTTGGTTTGCCCCCATGCTGTTCTCCTGATAGTGAAGGAGTTCTCACGAGATCTGATGGTTTGAAAGTGGCCATTTCCCCTGTGCTCTCTCTTTCCTGCCACCTTGTGAAGACATGTCTTGCTTCCCCTTTGCCTTCTGTCATGATTGTAAGTTTCCTGAGGCTTCTGTAGCCATGCACAACTGTGATTCAGTTAAACCTCTTTCTTTGATAAATTACCTAGTCTCAGGTAGTATCTTTATAGCAGTGTGAAAATAGACTAATACGAGAATTGGTATTGGCGGAGTCGGGTCCTACTATAAAGTGACTTTGGAACTGGGTAACAGGCAGAGGATGGAACAGGTTGTAGGGCTCAGAAGAAGACAGAAAGATGTGAGTATAAGTTTGGAAGTTTCGAGAGACTTACTGAATAGTTTTGACCAAAATGCTGATAGTGATAAGGACAATGAAGTCCAGGCTGAGGTGGTCTCAGACAGAGATGAGGAACTTGTTGAGAACTGCACTAAGAGTCATTCATGCTATGCTTTAGCAAAGAGACTTGTGGCATTTTGCCCCTACCCTAGAGATCTATGGAACTTTGAACTTGAGAGAGATAATTTAGGGTATCTGGCAGAAGAAATTTCTAAGCAGCAAAGTGTTCAAGATGTGTCCTGGCTTTTTCTAAAAGCATACAGTCATATGCATTCACAATGAGATGGTCTGAAATTGGAACTTATGTGTAAAAAGGAAGCAGACCATAGAGGTTTGGAAAATTTGCAGCCTGACCATGTGGTAGAAAAGAAAACCCATTTTCTGGGACAAATTCAAGCTGGCTGCAGAAATTTGCATAAGAGACAAGAAGCCAAATGTTAGTCACCAAGACAATGGGGAAAATGTCTCCAGGGCATGTCAGAGATTTTCAAGGCAGCCCCTCTTATCACAGGTCTGGAGGTCTAGAAGCAAAAAATGGTTTCACGGGCTGGACCCAGGGCCCCACTGCTCTGTGCAGCCTCAAGACATGGCGCATGTCCCAGCTGTGCCAGCTCCGGCGGTGGCTAAAAGGGGTTGAGGTACAGTTCAGGTTGGTGCTTCAGAAGGTGCAAGCCCCAAGCCTTGGTGGCTTCCATGAGGTGTTGGGCCTGCAGGTGTGCAGAAGACAAGAATTGAGGTTTGCTCTGCCTAGATTTTGGAGGATGTATGAAAATGCCTGGATGTCCAGCCAGAAGTCTGCTGTAGGGGTGGATCCCTAATGGAGAACCTCAACTAGGGCAGTGCAGAGGGGAAATGTAGGGTTAGAGTCCCCACACAGAGTTCCCACTGGCACTGCCTAGTGAAGCTGTGAGAAGAGAACCACTGTCCTCCAGAACCCAGAATGGTAGATCCACCCACAGCTTGCACCATGTGTCTGGAAATGCCATAGGCACTTAATGCCAGCCCATGAAAGCAGCCGCGGGGGCTGTACCCTGCAGAGCCACAGGGATGGGGCTGTCCATGGCCCTGGGAGCCCACCCCTTGCATCTGAGTGCCCTGGATGTGAGACATGGAGTCAAAAAAGAATATTTTGGAGCTTTAAGATTTAATAACTGCCCTGTTGGCTTTCAAACTTGCATGGATCCTGTAGCCCCTTCGTTTTGGCCAATTTCTCCCATTTTGAATGGCTGTATTTACCCAATGCCTGTACCCCCATTGTATCTTGGAAGTAACTAACTTGTCTTTGATTTTACAGGCTCACAGGCAGAAGGGACTTGCCTTGTCTCATATGAGACTTTGCACTTGGAGTTTTGGGTTAATGCTGAAATGAGTTAAGACTTTGAGGGACTGTTGGCAAGATGTGATAGGTTTTGAAATGTGTAACGGACGTGAGATTTGGGAGGGACCAGGAATGGAATGATACGGTTTTGCTCTGTGTCCCCACCCAAATCTCAGCTCAAACTGTAATTCCCAGGTGTTGAGGGAGGGATCTGGTGAGAGGTGACTGGATCATGCAGACAGTTTCTCCCATGCTGTTCTCATGATAATGAGTTCTCACAAGATCTGATGGTTTTAAAGTGGCAGTTTCCCTTGCACTCTTTTTCTCTTGGCTATTGTGAATAGTGTTGTTATGAACACAGGCGTGCAAACATCTCTTCAGTACACCGATTTCCTTTCTTTGGGGTATATACCTAGCAATGGGATTGCTGGGTTATATGGTAGTTCTATTTTTCTTTCTTTGAGGAGCCTTCATACTGTTCTCTGTAGTTGCTCTACTAATTTACATTCCCACTAACAGTGTATGAAGC